GAAGAATATCATCTTAAACATACTATCAGATGTTAAGACACGAGCCGACACAAACGCATAATGCCAAAAAAACCCACATTCAAATTGACCGTTGGGTATATCTACACAAACAATTATTATGAAAATTGTTACCAAATTTGATGGACTTTAATGTTGTTAGTCGTTTTATTATTGTTTGTGTGTCGATTAGAAGAGCATACTTCTCTTCAGTTATTTGTTCTTTAAGCCAGTCTAAGTTATGTTATTGTCAAGTCATTCAACTTCGGCCACTTGCCCCCGACCCCTTCTCACTCAACACTATGTTACGCATTGTTGGGCGTTAAAGACATTCAAAACGACGACGACGAACAACAACAAAAACTTGTTAATTTATGAATTTTGAAAAAGACCAGACCATCACTACCACCACCAACACAACTACCAAATAATTTTGACAATCTTCGTCTCCGAGTTACTGTTTTTGCAGTAGCACAGTACCAATAGAAGATGAATTAGATGAGATATCTTTTCCTATGTCTGGTTTTCGGTTTTTGCTTAAAGAATGTCATAGAAACTGGCTAAGTTTCAGTCTTCAACAAAACGCCGGGTAATAACATTGTATCGAACGAAAGAATAGAAAAACAAATAGATCGGTTTTTGGAACTAACGTTGGAAAATTAACCGAATTGTAGAAGAACAATAAGAAAAAAGTAACAAGGTCATTAAAATGCGTATATTTTCCATTATCGGCCTAGCGGCATTTGTCGTGTGTATCGGCTTACAATACCAACCAACTGAAGCCAAACCATTTATCAAGTTCGTAGGTAAGGATGGACTATCAAAATGATGTGTTTTTTAAATGGAAAATAACGATAATTGGTTGGGTATATGGAAATAATTACCATTATCGGATTATCTACCAAAAGTGACCATTCATTTTAATGAGATTTCAGTAGAAGAAGATGAAGTGATTGTAACAAAAAAGCGCGGAACACATTAAAAAACAAAAATAATTATTGGATACAGTAGCGATGACAATAACCTTGAAATTTGTAAAAAATGGGTTCTGTCTAGCAATTTAATAAAAGTGAAAAACAAAACTATTAATTTTAAAGCTTGAATTTAAATTATTTCAATACTACAATGAAATTCTAGTTAGCCGGGAGTCCAGAAAGACTATGGAAGTGACCAAAAATAAGTGAAAGCCTGCATAACAAAGCAGTTGAAAATGAGTGAAAGGACCTATATTCTTATAGCCTCTGAAGGATACATGAAATTACTTTTTCCAACGAAGACTAATTTGCATTAACAATAGTCTTTCTGCAATTTTATCATTCTGGACTCACTCCATTGGTTCTAAGCTATCATTGTTTGCATAAAAAGCTGTAAGGAAAGCATAAAAAGTCGAACAGAGCCTCTACCACTTTGGGTATTAACCAGAAATGGTCCTAAGATTATTATTCTAAACTACAGCAATAAATGTATATAGCGATTTTATTAAATATTTATAATTGTTGTTCCCTAATGACTATCCTGTCGATAGAACAGACGTAGCATCGGACGAAACGTAAAACGGACGAAATTAATTACGAACGAAATACTAAAAATCAGACGAAAATATATATTGGAGCTATTTCGTAATCTGAACCGATTTCAATAAAACTTCGCACACGTTGGGCTGTCCTACCAACAGTACGTTGTGAAAAATTGCGTGCCGATCGGACTAAATTTAAAAACTTTGTTGCACAATTTGATAAAAATCGGACGAAAATATATATGGGAGCTATTTCGTAATCTGAACCGATTTCAATGAAACATGGCACACTTTAGGCTATCGTAACATTAGTACGTTGTGCAAAATTTTGTGCCAATCGGCTTAAATTCGGCTCTTTGGTACACAATTTGCTAAAAATCGGACGAAAATATATATGGGAGCTATATCTAAATCTGAACCGATTTTCACAAATTTCAATAGGGTTCGTCCTTGGGCCAAATTAGTGACCCATGTCAAATTTCATCCAATTCGGATCATAAATGCGACCTGCACTTTATGGTGTGCCATCCGAACCGATTTTCACCTGTACCACATATCATTTCATTTGGGCCATAAATGCTATTTGCATATTGTCTACAATTTTACATCTTCAGACGGAGGGACATGCATAAATGGATTCAGAAAGTGATTCTTTGCATATCGTCAAAAGTTTCCATGGATCTTGATTCATTTAGACTGTTGCAATCATATGCAAAAATACATTATACCCTGGACCTCAGTGTGCAGGGTATAAAAACCTTGGCTATGTCGAAAAGTAGACAAATATTAACAAATATTTTTGTATGGAGATTTGGTATACAAAGAAAACCTAAAATACCAAATTGAAGCTAATTCGATTTAACAACGTAGCCACTATCCAAAAAATACCGAAAATTGGGGGTAGTGTTATCTAATTGTGAACCAATATTGATATGCGGTTGAAAATCATGTCCAAATTCTAAAAAATTCCGACATTTTTTTGGTGTACTGTTATATAGGAGCTACCCGAAATGTGGGCCAGAATTACATATTTCTGGTCGGATGACTTGGTACCCAAGTAGAACAACAAATACATAATTATTGCTAGTACGGTTGAAAGGCCCGCTCAAAATACATTAAAATTCCGACCATTGGGGAAACCGATGTATAGGGAGGTTATGACTGAACATGAAACGATATTACCCATCATCGATATACAGCCAATTCGTTTGAAAAACGTGCCCAACGTCCGCAAAATACTGAATTTGGGGAGCGTTACCATTATATGGTAGGTACCCCGAAACTTGAGTCAATATTAATAATTTTTAGTAGAACGGTTGGCTATACTTTGAAAAACCAAAATACCAAATTACAGCCAATTCCGATGCCAATCGTGAGTAACATCCCCAATATACAGAATATTGGGGGGTATCGTAATATGGTGAATACCCGAAACTTGAGTCAATATAAATATTTTTTTTATTATGCGGATTCTCTAAACATTATGAACCCAAAAAATAATAAAAAACAGTGAGCGGAGCTGTGTAGTCGTGTCGACCATATGATACCCTACACAACTACCACTTCATGTGGTTCCTTATTCTGAGAATGGCAATATTTCGCCGATTATTGGTCAACAGCTCCACTTTCTAATTCTTTCATATTTTTCAACTTTTGCTTTCCCCAGGTGAATATTTGCGCCATAAAATAAAAATGTGGTCACTTTAGGTTTTTTGGTTGATTTGACTCTCGGAACATTAACCGATCATCATCCAAACAGTCGTTCTCAGTATTTGGTCAGATCCCGTGTAAAATATGTGATGTTCTGCATAAAATAATGGCCCCTAGAGCGACTAGAAAATCTGACAACAATAAAGTATTCGGTTAATTTCTCCCGTTAAATATCATCTCAACATCTCCGAAAATTATAGGAGTCGTTCTTGATCATAACAGAAAGTTCATGAAAAATTTCAATGCGGGGTTTACTATTACCCCACTAGAGGTCGGAAATGTTTACTAAATAATATCACAACATATAGACACCTTTAAATATTTACATATAACTCCCACATCCGACTACATACAACAATATAATTGGTAACAATTTAAAGGTCAACAATTCCTCTTAGATATACTTTTTCTATGGTCAGACCCCTTTCTCTGTAAAGAATTTCGTGATGATCGGATCATAACAACAGACAATTATAAAATTTTTGTTCCATAAATATTAAAGGATCATTACCAACAACGATAGGGGTCTTCACATGCAAAATTTCCTGAAGATTGGTCCATGAACGTGACCTTTATCGTGTCATAATGGATAGACGGACGGACAAACATGACTCAGCTAGTCGAGATATGACGATCTGTATACTTAAAGGTCTAGAACAAATAGCGGTTTTACAGACCCCTTTCTCTGTATTGAACTTCGTCATGATCAGGTCATAATTGTGGCCTATTGTGCGACCAGAAAAACAGACAAAAATAAAATTTTTGGTCCATAAATATTAACTGATCATTACCAAAAACAATGGGGGTTTCATTGGACAGAACCCGTTCTACATGCAAAATTTCGCGAAGATTGGTCCATGACTTTGACCTGTATTGTATTTACAAATTATAATGGATATACGGACACACTAGACTAGACTCAGCTGGTCGAGATATGACCATCGGTATACTTAAAGGTGGATCTTGGACCAATAGTTCACGGTGTTGCAAACTCTTGGGGTTACACAAAGCTATAATACCTGATAACATAGTTGTGTAGGGCATTTCGAAACTCTATCTTTAAAATTGATGTCTCTATGGCCCGTGTTAAAATTTCACGTAATTGAAAAATCAAGAACATTTCGAATTCAAGGAATTATTTTGTTAGCCTAAATAACTGAGTGACAACTGCCTAGCAATACCGTCTAAGGATTAAAGGTAAATATAGAAAACATTCAAAATACCGAAAATAGGGAGCTAACTTTATATGGAGGCCATGACAATGAACAGATATATATTTTTATCAGAATAGATATATGTTGGCCACAAAAACCCGAATAAAGGCCCTGAAGTTTAGAAAGTGCGGCTAAAATCTTTAAAATACAGAAAATGGAACCGTTATATGGGAGCTATATGAAAACTTGACACGATATATTTCCTTTGGAATATAAAGCATCATGGTTGTAGCACCAATGTGTCTAAAAAATTAAATATTCTATGTTAAATATTGGGATTTCTACACATATAATTCAGTTGAAGGTGTCACTAAGTCCAAGCATTATATACCATACACACCTTCCTTTAGGCATCCTTCAATTCTTGAGGATATACACCAATAGAATTTATATAAGTTATGATGATTTTAGAACGTACAAGTTTCTCCAAAAACGTGTGTATGCCTTACAGATTTCTGTGCGGTCCTTAATGTGTTATTTTTATAAAATAGTTATCCAGATATTCCACTATAAAATTAAAAACAAAGAAATAATAAAAATAAATGTCGTTTCTTTTGTTTCAGCTTTCAACAATGGCGGCAATTCCACATCTGGAGGATTTGGTGGCCTGCTGACATCGGCAACACAGAGTATTTTCACGAATATTATTACTAAAAAGATACAAACTATTACTCAGGCTTTGACCACTGGTCTCAGTTCGGCTAGTTCCGGTTCGAGTGGTGGTTTTGGATTCGGCGCCAAAACCGGTTTATTCACCAACCTTTTGAGTACAAAATTGGGTGGTGGTGGTAGCAGTTCCGGTTCCTACAGCAGCAGTAGTTCCAGTAGCGGCTTTGATCTAAGTTCCAAAACAAATTTGGCTACAAGTTTGTTGAGTAGTAAATTAGGATCGGGATCTTCTTCCACCTCCTATAGCTCTTCCAGCAGTTCTTCATCATCGAGTAGTTCCAGCAGCAGTGGTGGTGGTCTTAGTTTGATTAAAAATTTGGCCACCGGTGTTGTTAGCAGTAAATTAGGTGGTGGTGGAAGTTCAAGCAGCAGCAGCAGTGGTGGTGGTATTTTAAGTGGTTTCATTGGTGGAGCAACGGGTATTGCTACAGGTACAACCACAACTACTACAACTACAACCCAAGCTCCAACCACAACAACTACGACGACCACAACCACAATCACAAAGGCCCCTGAAGTCAGCATTACCTCCACTACGGAAGGTTTAACAGAAGATAAGGATACCGATTTTGGTACAGTCTCAACTGAGAGTAGTGTCAGTTCCACTTCAGGTTATGTTTATAGTACCACCGAGGCCCCTGAAATTACAACTAGACGCCCTGAAACCGGTAGTGCTTTATTAAATGCTGCCATTGCAGCCACAACAATTGAGGACAATGATGATGATGATGATGTTACCACAACAACAACCACTACCTCTGAAACTACACCAACCACGACTGGTGGTTCGGTTGGCGGTACAATTGTTTTCCCTGCTGATAAGGAAATAACAACAACAACGACTGGAGATAGTGACAACAAAGGAACTGATGATGGCCAGGATAATGGTTACAGTTATAGCACGAATTCCAACAGCCAGGTGTCGAATGGTAATAAGGATGGTTCCACTGGTTCTGGAAATTCTGGATACAGCTACACCACAACAACCCAAACTTCGACCACTGGTAATGCTGGTCTAGGTGGTAATCAAGGTTCCACAACTCTAACCTCGGAAGAAAAGGGTGCCGATAAGGTTACCACAACTGACGGTGATTCCGGATATACCTATACTACAACTACCCAAACTTCGACCACAGGTAATGCTGGTCTCGGTGGCAATCAAGGTTCCATAACTGGTGAAAATACTGGCTCAGGATATAGTTATACCACCACCCAAACCTCGGAAGATAAGGAAGCAGATAAGGTTACCACAACTGGAGGTGATTCCGGCTATACCTACACCACAACTACCCAAACTTCTACCACAGGAAATGCTGGTCTAGGAGGTAATCAAGGTTCGATTTCCTCGGGAAATTCCGGTTCAGGTTATAGCTATACTACCACCCAAACAACTGAAGAAAAGGAAGGCGATAAGACCACAACAACCGGAGGAAATGGTGGCCTCAGTTACACCACCACAACTACCCAAACTTCTACCTCAGGTAATGCAG